TGCTGCCCTCCGGCGACTAAACACTCATGCCTTTGGTGAACAGCTCTTCGGAAAGTCTCACAGCAGCTCTTGATGCATCTTAGCGCTAGCAATCTTCTGTTTGAAGTAGCTATGGTAACACATACACATGTTTAAGCTGTATAAGAGTTAAAAGCAATTTGCACTTGCAGATCTTAGAGGCCTTTCTGCTGTCCTTGTAAATCAGTGGGATGGCTGCAAAGCCTGAAGCCCATGCACACATGGTCTCGCATCTGTAATGTTAAAGCTGAATTTATTGTTGAGATGGTGGTGACTTTTCTCCCGTGGCCTGTCAGGACAGCGACTCTGAGACCTCAGCACAGCAAAGTTTTTTCTGGCACTTCATTCACTGTTCTTTTCTATAGCCTATTTCTTAGGTTTCTCAATGGTAGCCCAGAAATTAATAGGGGTATTTCAGCTAACTCCTCTGCATGTTGAAATGGGCAGTAGCCCACATTTAGCATCTCCTTTCCTGATATGCTACTGTACTTTCTAAATGGAAGGAAATGTTTTGTTGTTTTGTTTGTTTTTTTCCTAAAACTGCAACCTTATTTATAGAGACAAAAACCATTAGAACATTAGAGCAATGCAGATAGACCTGATATTTAATCTGAAGGTATTCACGCATGCAAGAGATGCTAAGCCTCTGTTGCTGCTTGTACCACTTCTGATATTCTGCTCCCCCAGGATGTTTACCTGTCCGTGACCAGATGTTCTGGACAGTAGAAAGCCACACTGGGAAAAAGACCGAGGAAGAAAGGACAGGATCAGAAAACAATGCCAGGAGATAGACAGATAACAGGTAAGATTGCAAGCTATCTGTTCTGTACCCTGACAGGAAAACACAAAGATGTAAACACTATAAACAAAAGTATCTTCACACAGTGATAACACTGCATACTTGAATGGTCAGAAATTAAGGAATGTGAAAGTTGCATCAGGACAGAGAACTTGAACTCTGCCCCATGCCGTTTCCAGCCCACTGTGCTTTACAACCTCATTTTCACTATGCATGGGACAGGCTCCTTACACAACAAGGCACAGATGATTCTGTGATAATTACCCATCTTGAACTTTGTCACAAAGTCTCCGGGCCAGGGGGGAGAGCTAAAGTTGGAGCAGTAAGCAGGGCAGTGAGCCTGTTTACAGGTGTCATTGGGAGGAGCCAGTATTTGTGACAGCACAGCTTTTGCTCCTTTGTGCTAGCTGTCAACCCTTTGCAAGAAGGAAAAGGCCAGGGCCAACCTGCCAGTTCCCCAGTGTTGTCCCACCCTTGGTGTTATGATCCCAGCAGACTGGCCAAATCTGCAGTATGGCACCAGTTTAGCTGCTGGCTTCTGGACAGGTACCGGCTTTGCAGAGGGGTCTCTGGTTGGTGCCTTGTTCTATTCCAATGAACCTTGGAACTACAGTTTCCTCCTATTAATTTACACCCCTCCTGGAGATGTGGATGCAGTATGGATGCCCAGGCAGACACAGTAAACCCATTCAGTTGATGACAACATGCGGGGAGGTAGCACAGCTCATGCTTTTGTGTCCACACAGATGTCCAGGGATGCAATCCTGGGAGATGGGACTAACATTACCCTTGTTTACAGCATGATCAGACCCTGACTTTTCCAGCAAACTCCTTTGCAGGAATGAGTTGAATGAAAGGGATGGGGATTTGCAGATACAGTGCAAAAGAAAGAGGAGGCCAAGAACATTCAGATCCTTATAAATGAGGAGAAATTATTTCTGCAACCCAGTGCCAGTAAGCCAACCTTGTAGGCCTGGTCAGCTCCAAGATGCCGGATGGTCCCACGTCCAAGACTAGATGGGGTCTTTTCCACGTGGAAAATCTCTCTCAGGAATTTGTTTTTGGAGGAATGAACCACCTGCATTACATTAGCACTCAGTGTATCCCGATTCTTCTCCAGGAAGTCTACAGGATGGAAACAAAATCAGCTTGTCTCCTCTGCACCCTGCTGGCTCTAGTGCCACTCTCTCTAGCTAAAATCCACTTCATTTACAGTAACTTGCAGATTAGTTTAGTATAATCCTCCTGACCTCATGATCTGACTTCAGATCAAAACTACCCTGGAGTGGACTACATCCAGTTCATGCCCTTTTCTTCACCCTCTGTATCCAGCAGAGATAGGCTCACCTTTTGATTCATAAAATACAACCCCAGCAAAGTGGTTGATGCCAAACTTGGTGTCATGAACACTCTTAGGTGGGATGTAGACTTTACTTTTGCCATGGAGGGAATTGATTTTTACGAGCATGGTGGCATCTGTGCCCTAGAAACAAATACAGGCAAAAAAGGACGATTAAGCAGATTCCCTCTCAACACTGGTCTATGCTCAGCAAACAGATAGCAGTAGGGACCCTCTCTTCCCTGGAACAGCTATAAGAGTTTCAACAGTGAGGTATGAGGAAGAGCACATTCCAGCAGAGAGCGAAGCATTTATATAGTGAGCTAATTTAAAAGAAACATCTGTGGGGAGAAGACATTGCCTCTCGTAATGTATCCAAAAGCCATTTTTGCACTTTTCTGTGTGCAAAGTGAAGTGTTACCTGTGAGCTGTGCCCAAAGCCAGGCATTACAAGTGAAACCAGAAATTTACCTTTGGGAACTTGCTCTCTTCATCAATGAGGGAGATTATATTCATAGGCTTCAGTGCGATGACTTCCAAAGCCTGGCGGTTATCAGTGAAGTCAATGTTACTCCAGGTAATGTTCTCTGCATGGTATTCCTCTTGTTCCAGCTTGAAGACATGGTGCACGAAGAACTGCTGAAGGTGCTCATTGGCGATGTTAATGCAGAGCTGCTCAAAGCTTTTGGGGGACAAGATGGGAACCCACAGTCACCCTTAGCCAGTGCTGCACTGATTTATGGTATTTATTTATTATCTCTATTAAATGCATATCCAGATATACTACTGCTATATTCCACAGTATTATGATCACCATCAAGGCATGTTGCCAATCTTAGCAATACAAGGAATGCATCTTCTGCTGTGATAAAGATAATCAGAAATAAGACAAATGATGATTGAGTATTGCTGAATAAGCAAGGGAAGATCTTGTATGCATTTCAAGAAACTCTAGAGATAAAAAGGAACATGTAAGTGTGAAAACAGTTTAACTGAGTGTGTGGTATGTTTTCACTTGCACTGGTGCTACCACTTCTTTTGTTAATTACTACTTTATGTTGCCCCTGAGTTTCATTACCTGATAATTGCTGTGGCACACTGTATGCTTGTGCAGTGCTCACCATAGTGAGGCCACATGTGGATTGCAGCCATTGGGAACAGCATAATATAATAGGAGAGAAGACAAAAGATAGAAGATGAGCTGAACAGCTCCTTGGCCATGTTCCACAAGTCAGTGAGGAATATTATCTTGCTGAAAGCAAGCAAGATGCATCAGTTGAAACTGATTGAGAAAGAATGCAGAATATGTGCTGATGGTTTGTGGAGTACTGATGATGTGGTAACACGACTGAGAGAACTGCTGCCACCATAGAGAAGAATAAACAGAACTGATGCTTTGGGGCTGAAACCACCAGCAGGACAGGTAGCAATGGGACAATGGGTATACTGACCCAGTGTTTTGCTGACATGTCCTTAGAAGTAGACAAATGAAGCAGATCCCAAAAAGGAACAGGAGAACATTAAGCAAGATGGAAACGTGAGCTGAAATGGGAAACACAACACGGCCTCCTTTGTACTATATGCTAAATGCGTCCCAAGAGACACTGTAAAAATGCTATGGAACAAGAAAGCATAGAGGCATAGGGACATACTACATCCTCATATACTGGCTGCCTGCTCATAGCTTTTTCCTGTGAAAAAAATCCTGAGGTTTTGGAACAGACGTGCAATGACTACACCAAAATGGTTGTGGGAGGAGGTGGAAATATGACCAAGACTGAAGAAAAATGGAGCCAGTGCATGATCATCATTGTGAAAATTCAGTGATGGAAATTTCATTGCTTTTCTGAGAATCAGGATGATAATCCAAGAGCATGTGTCTGGCTTTTTCATTCTTTCCATTCACATCAGCTGCTTCTCAGCTTTCCGGTGGAAATGAAGCCAGAGCCTCTTACCTGTTGTTACTGAAGTTTTCAAACCCAAAAATGTCCAGCAGTCCAATGGAGTGACAACTGTCTTTAGCCTTCTGCAAAGTTGGGTTGAAAATGGCTGAGTTGATCTTGTTCACTATCCACAGGAAAATACGTCCATATATACCCTGAGAGAAAAATTAAGGAGGAATTAGAGCCCATCATTTCAGTCTTTGGACATAACTTACTGCTTGATATTGTGCTGCTACAATGCTGTCAAACTATGCTGGAAACCTATGAAGGACCAGAGCCTTCTGGGTGAGTGTTTGCCACATAAGACTCCTCAAGGAGTAAGACACATCTCTGATAGCATCCCTGGGCTTTAAACAGGGAAGATTTAAGCACCAGTACCTTCACAAAGGCATCCCTCCCATCTGCAGCTTGAACAACGTTTAGAGGCCTGGACACACTTTCTCCTCGAACAATGATGGAGAGGTTTGTGAGGCTGTTCTGGAGTTCACTGGAGTCCACCTGGAAGAACAGTCATGGCAACCTGGTCATTCCAGGTGGATAAAGGAGATCCAGTAAAGTATGTCTCGGGAGGAAGAAGGCCATGACAAACTGCGAGTCCAGCAGCATTCACCAGTGGCCTGCTGTGTCAGTTAAAGATCTCCTAGCTCAGAGAGACATCTGCAACAAGCATCACTGGAGTGTCAGCAGGAAGAAGGGGGCATGCCCATTGTATGTGCATCCATATATATTCCACAGAGTTTTGCTGTGTTACTATGCTCATGGAACAAGGGTGAAGGATAGAACCAGTAGAAGAAGATGAGAGTCTATTACCTCAAGCAGTTTGGTTGCAATTGAAAAGTGTGGTGAGTCCATCACATCAGAGCAGTCCAAGTTGTCGTACACGGCCGCTACAAAGAGGAAACAGTCAATCTCAGGGTGAATAATTTCTGCTATGGTGAGGGGCTGTGCTGTCATTGCAGCTGAATTGCTGCAATCCTATAGCTTTGGGAATGTGGCAAGGCAGTAAGTTCTCTTTTGAAACTCCCAGGTTTGATGCTTTTACTAAGGAAGGTCCCGACTGCACGCAGGTATCCTGCAATGTATAGGGCCCTCACAATTCCAGAACATCAGGCAGGCCAAAAATGCAGCAGAACTGAGATGTTACTAATTTTAAATAGCAGGTTTTGGGGATCTGGGGAAGTGGCATCTGACTTCTGAAAATATTTTTTTTCCATGGATCTGGCTTGTGGGAAATATAGACAATGAAGAGGGATAAGGGAAATCCTTTATTTTAGCAACCAGCATTACTCCAGAGAATCCTGCTGGCATCTCTGTATTGGGCCCTCTGTGTCACAGGGTAAGAAGACATCCTTTTCTCTAATATGACAGCTTCTGGCATCCTGCTGGTGGGTGTCTCACATTGTGCCTGTGTCATACTAGAAATGCACTTATGTAGAGTGTTCACCAAACTTAGCCAGAGTGACTGCTATCAGCTCCATGGTAAACATCTCTCAGCTGCTCCTGTGTCCTCTGGCTTGTGTAGCACAACAATCAGCAAATGTAACATGGCACTATATTATCTGTTGTTTCAGTTTGTGTGATAAGAGCCTATTTATAACCATGGAAACCTGATAGCATGACAAAATAAGATGATGTCTTTCAAAACACTAGGCAGTGGAGTCACAAATCAGAACTTCCTTGTGCTTATCTGCCTGCCCTTACAACCCTGTTCACCTGTTCACACAGGGAAAAGCAGCACATGTGTCCTGGGTTCAGTTCTAACAGTTATCTTTCTCCTTCCTAGTAGCTGGTGCAGTGCTGTGTTTGGGCTTTAGCCTGAGAACAGTACTGGTAACACACCAATGGTTTTAGTTGTTGCTATGCAATGCTTACTTTGATCAAGTACTTCAGTCTCATGCTTTGCCAGTGAGGAGGGGCACAAGAAGCTGGGAGGAAGCAAAGACAGGACACCTGACCCAAGCTAGCCAAAGGGATATTCCATACTACAGCACATCATGCCTGGTATAGAAACTGGGGGAGTCACCTTGAAGGCCCAGTTCACTGCTCAGGTTGGGCTGGGTATCAGTTGGTGGGTGGTGAGCAATTGTATTGTGCATCACTTGTGTTTATTGTTGGGCTTTTCCCCTTCCCTTTTTAGTTTTATATTCTTTCCTCTTGTTACTTCCTTTTTCATTATTATTAGTAATAGTTGTAGTAGTTTTATATTGTACTTTAATTATTGGACTGCTCTTATCTCAGCCCATGGGATTTACATGCTTTCAATTCTCCTCTCCATCCTGGCCAGAGCAGGGGTGAGTGGGTGAGCAGATGTGTGGTTGTGAATTACTGGCTGGGTTTAAACCACGATAACATGTAACCTAATCTGTACCTAATATGTACAGATGAAAGAAGGCAGCACCATTAGGCCTTTACCATAGAGTCCAATGAAGGACCAAGCACAGACAGTGGTGAGTTCCATGGCCGGGGGCGGGGTTGGAACTAGATGATCCTTCCCAACCCCAATTATTCTATGATTCTATTCTATTCTGTTCTAGTCTATGAGTTTACCTTCAAACTCTACATTTCCTAGGTGCAGGATTGCAGCCAACAGCTTGCTGATGTCCCAGTGCTCAGAATCTGAGAATGTGAGGATCTTCATAGCCGAGCGGATGTGAGCATAATCCTTTGCATCATTGCGGCCATCACAGAATGTGCAGTTGCCCTGCAAGACACCACACCTGCAGGTAAGGAAAATCTTCCTGGCATCCATACAAAGAAGAAACGACCTGCAGGCAGACAAACCCTTGTACACAATGTAGTTTCCCTGTAAGCCACTTTCCACAGGATGTAAGATAAAAACCTATGTAGATATTCTGTATGTTTTTCCCATGTCTGTTTCTTCCCTCAGCTCTACTCTCAAGAAGAACCCATTAGCAGAGGCCTAAATAATGCTTTTCTCCAGGGCTAGAGTGAATACTAAGGAAACCAGAAGGAAAAGGTGAGGGGAAGGCTGCTCTGGAGTAAAGGACAGGAAACTTTAATAAGGTTACGTACACTTACAAGGCCATGTTTCTTCTGTTTCCCTCTCTGACTTGTCAGTGGACAAGTAAGAGCCCTAATTCCAAATCAAAGCAAATAGGACTGGATCAGTACTAGAAGGCCAATCTCAAAATAAGGATGTTAGGTTCTAGTGGAAGACAGATGGAAGCATCTGAAGCATCATCAACAGAACCTTCAACAAAGCTTGCAAAGTGGGTCCCAGGATGCTGCTCCTGACAGAGACTATTTTCAGCCCTGAGGGAGATGGGGGAAATGCCTTTTTTTTATCCCTGCTATTTCTGACAATGTATTGTGATGATAACAAAAGTGAAGTATTCTTAGACATTTCAGTTTACAGCATGCAAACATGCCACCTTGTGCCAGCAGCTGACCTGAACAAAAGCACAGATACATTCTCCTTTAATTTAATCCTCCTGTCTCTGTATAATACTGATCAGGAAACTTCAGATCTTTTAATGGAATAGCTAATGTGTGAATTGCAGTCATCAGCTCTTGCTGCAAGATCGCTGCTATTTTGAAAATGCATTTGTATAAAATCTCCAGCAACTTCAATGGTTTTGCTTTTGAAACTACAGAAACAGCTTTATAGTCCTGTTTTAATTTATTTCCTTTCAAACTAGATGCCTACCATGCATTAACTTCAGCAGAGGCAGGACTTAGCCCCCATTTTTTTCATGGCTGTAGAACGGGTCAAACCAAACCAGCTGATGTATGTAATATGAGGTACCTGCACAGGCTAAAGAATGGGATTTGCACCATGGCTTTCATGCTTTAAATCAATTAGCTGTTTTAAAAACTCTCACCTATGAACATCCCACTGCTGCCACTATGGCAACATAAGCCCAGACAGGGACATTAGCATCAGCTAATGAATGCAAGCTTCCTGCATTATGTGTATAAGCTTTACCAGATATAAGGACTAAGATTCTTGGCACTGATTCTGCTTACTCATTTGCCCCTAAGGTATACATACCTATTAGTATTCTTCCTGGCATAAGATCCCTTGCATTCATCTTGCCTGTGAAAGTGGAGAATATTTCACACCTGCTTTAAGATGTCCTTTATGCTTCCTAAGTCTGACTTTGATAGTAGCCTTTGAACTGCCACAAGCTGCCTCCCACTGGTGGACATTAAATTAGAATTTAATGAAAAAAGAGGCTCACACTTTCAGTGTTACTGCTTCTGGTACTTAGAGAAAAGGACTGCTCATGTTTGGTAACTACCCATCTGCAGCTCTGGGAGAAGAAAATGACTGAGAGATAATGAGAAAGAAAGCAGAGACTATTACCATAGTGAGATAAGTGTACTCTGAAGCAGTGCCCAGATTTAGCATCTTTTTCTGCTCTGTATTCATCCCCATTAGCATGCAGTAGAAGATGTGGTAATTTCTCTCCTCTGGAGCCTAAGAGAAAGAAATAGGCCAATGGTCAGCCTTGTCAGTGTAAGCTTGGAATGAGCAGGCAGAATGTACAGCTGCCCTAACCCCTACCTGCCGACAAACCCTGGACTTCTCCAGAAGGAACTGTTCTATCCGGGCTCCTTCTATCACACCATTTTGATTGAAGTGAATATCGATGTATTTCCCAAAGCGGCTTGAATTGTCATTTCGAATTGTCTTGGCATTTCCAAAAGCTGATGGGCAGGGGACAGAGATAGTATCTGGATTACTGCAGTTAATGCACATCAAGTCTATTTTTTATGCCCTACTTTTTTTCTGCTAGCATTTTACACATTTGTGTTTGAAATGACAGTGCTGACAAGCACTGCAGAGTATTTGGTTTCAGGCTGCCTCCTAAAGAGAGAAGCAGGCACACTGTGCATCCAGGTAACAGTGTTCTAAAAGACATATTCAAATGCTCCAAATGCAGCCAGCCGATCTGGCCAGCCAGGAGAGCAGGGCAGGTCCGAAGACCTCCAGAAGGACGTCCTGGGAACTTATTTGATCCTTCTACAGAGAGAGACATGTGTCAGGGGCTTCTCCTATAGGTACATCTATGCTTGGCCAGTCACTTTGCCACTGCTACCTAGTGTAAATGCTAAACCAGGGGTCTTTGGGCTCTGCTTTCCCAGGGACTCTTGTGCTCCCAGCAGTTCCAGGTTACCTCGTGGGAGCTGCTGTGGGCTTCATGAGGACATGACAGAAAAGTATAGAGAACTTCTACCATGCATCACCAGTGTTTCAGGATTTTAGCGTCTGTTTAAAGATCTGTTTCTGACTTTTTTATCCTGATACAAAATCCTGAGATAAAGGCGGTAAATCAGGCATGTTTGCTAAAGAACCCACCTTCCAGAATGGGGTTGGCCTCTAGGACTTGCTGCTCTATCCAGGAATGCTGGCCACTGATCGCTGCCAAAAACTGCAGTATTAGCTTTGTGCTTTCAGTCTTCCCAGCTCCAGATTCTCCACTGCAGTAAGAACCAAAATCATTGAAGGTTTCCTTTGTTCTTTTTTTTTGGCTAGGGTGGCAAAATGGCAGACCAAATTGAAAGTAAAATAAAGCTCACTTAGATTTACCCTGTTAAGGGCAGATCAGTGTCTTTCATGTAAGGCTGGAGAATTTAGCCTTCCATTATCTTATCTGCTAAAATTTAAGTTGTTTTTTAGACTTGGGCCGAGGACTAAATTTTCCCATTAATTCAAACCAAGCAAATCCACAGAGGACATTCTCTACCAGTGCAAATTAAATGACCACTTGCTTTTTGCCTTTAAGGCATTACCAGATTTTCAGTGCTGGTTTTAGCATATCAACTGAGTTGCCTCAGCTATAATCAGATATTATTACAATGAGATTATCTGTTTCTTCACACTGATGATTAACAGAAAGTGAATAGGTGTTTTGTCTTCACAGAATGAAGAAAGTTTCTTTCCATCTTCAGGTTAGTAGAGGTTGTTTTCTCCAGGAAATCTCTGTTTTCAGAAACTAAGGTAACACAAGCATCATGTCCCCAAGGTTAAAGATAGCCTTAAATCAAACAGGCTCGTATTTTATATTTCCATACATAGTGACCATGTGCAGAATGTACATCAACATTCAAAGATTCTGGGGGAAAACAATGGATTTCAGAAATCCCTTGCTTACGTTCTACCTTCTGCAGCCCTAACTGAAAATGAAGGGGAGAAAATATTTCCTTCCTGTTGTCTCTAACCTTATCTGTGCCCTTCCCTTTAGAAGGTCTCCTATGTCCACAAAGATGCCCCCTGAACATGTCAGACCTGGTTTCTGCTACTCATCCTCTCTAAATCCAGTCACCTGATGACACAGCACTGATCTCTCTTATTCCTCTTCATATTGAAGTAACAGTTGTCTGCAATGGCAAAGACATGAGGTGGTAGCTCTCCAATCCTCTTGTTACAGTACAATCTGATCTGATCGACTGTGTAGAGCGGCAGAAGCTGGTATGGATTCACTGCTACCAAGATGGATCCTGTGTAAGTCTGGAAAACAGTTATGAGTGTTACCTTTGGCAGCAAACCTGCAAATAAGAATACAGCCAAAGCCACTTGCAGTATAAGACTAAACAGAGGCAGAAGGGAAGTCTAGGAGATCCATAGCAGCACTTAGGTGAACCTGAGAACCTGGCTCCTCACTATAAGCTGCCTTTAAATATCCCAGAATATGGAGTTTTTTTCAGAAGAAAGAATCCTAGCTATAATCTCCTTGCCAAATCACAGCTTAGTTCAATGTCTCAAGCTAAAGCATGATAAAGTTCAGTTTGACCTGGGATTTTTGTGTGTTATCATAAGCTGTTTTGTAGTGTTTTGTTAAGCTGCTTTTGTGTTCTAGTGCAGAGGTAGCTGAACTTTGGTAATGGGCAAAGTTATGGTTTGCATTATTCATACAGTCATTTAGTTACGTTTATGAGCAACAGCACCATTGAATGAGGAAGGCTGTTGAAGGCTGTGGAAATGCAACGCAATAGTATTGTTCAAGAACTTCTACATAAGACAGCTGCAGACTGAGTCTAATGTAACAGGACTTTACACACATCTTGTTAGTTACAACTGCAGCATCCATAAAATCAGTCCTTATTTGCACTAAACATCACCACATCTGCATTGTAAGAGGCAGCTCCTCTCCTACAGCCTATAAAACATCGGAATCAAAGCATGGAAAAATCTGAATATTATTATCATATTAGAAACTGGGAACTAAGGAACAAAGAAACTAAAAATGCCAAATTGCTCAGTCACAGATAAAACCCATAATGGACAAGAAGTGAAACCAGGGATGCTGAATTTCCAGATTTATTCTTTATCTGTTTTATTACATCAGAATCAAGTAAACATTGACTTGGACTGGAGGATGTTCAAACCATGTTACTGTGTACTACTGAGACTGATCCTGAGTCACAGCTGAAGTTAATAGCAGCAGTAAGGCATAACATGGGCTGGATTTAGCTAACTATCAGTCACTGGTGAAAATGATCGCTCTAGGATAAAGTAAGCAGCACCACTACCTACACATATCTGTGATTTCAGAGACTGCTATTAGCTCTCTTCTTCACAGCCAAAGTTCTTGAATGAAATAAGACAAAAACTATGTTGGGTCTCCTTGGCACCCTCTATCTGTAAAGGAAGCAGAGAGCCCCATGTATGAAAGGGTTACATGCTGCTTGGGTCACTTTGCTTAATGTGTAGCAGAGGCTGTTCCTGAAAGTACTCTGCCTGGTGGCCTTGGCACTC